GTTCGACCTAGCTCGAACTAACAATAAGTTACCGTTTTGACCTCGCTCGAAGCAACACCCCAACGGCCAACGGCCATCGCCAAAAGAAAGGTTCGACCTCGCTCAAACTGACTAGGTCACAATTCGATCTTACCCGAATTGACACCTTTATGGCCACTGGCTATCATCGAATCAAGTAGGAAACGAGACAACCTCAGAATAACATCTTTACAACCTCCGGCTACCGTCAAATAAAATAAAAAGTTTGACCTCGTTCGAACACAAGTCAGAAACTGACTTCGCCCAAGATGGCAACTTCGAGTTCGACCTCGTTCGTACACCAGTCAGGAACTGACTTCGCCCAAGTCAGCAAATCAACAGTCAACCTCGTCCGGATCTGAAAATCCAAAGGACTTCATTCGGACTGACGCGACGAGATCCTACTCGAGTCGGGCAGGGTCGGACTCCCAATCGAGAAGGTCAGGAACTCAGCGCCAAAACTAAAAGATATGTAACGAACGAGGAAAAGGAGAATCAAAAGATACACAAAGGCGAAGCAAATATTTTATTTATATATGCATGCGCAACAACCGCATCTTACAAAAGGCCAAAACAGGCCCCAAAGAAAAGCGAAAATGAACAAAAAAAAGTACTAAAACTGCAGCAACTTTTCACTCGGCGTCATCACCGCCGTTCTCCCCATCATTATCTTCGGGAAACCCGTCCTCAATATCTGCGTCCTCGCCAACCTCTGGTGTTGCAGGGTCGTAGCCGCAGTTGACACGAGCCTTGCGTGCCTTCGCCCGAGCTTCTTCAAAAACAGCATCGGAAACACTACCCGCCTCCCATAAACCCTTGTATATGTCTCGTTGGGCCTCAGCATGGACCCACAGCTCATGTAAGCGACGAGGAACAGTGGCGGAAGCAGATTCAACTTGGGCCAACAGTTGCGCTTTTTCGACCTCGAGGGCCGCGACCCGGTCTCCCAAGTTTGAGGCTTCCCGATCAATTTTGCCGATGCGCTCTTCGAGCCTCGCCTCCCTCACTTTGGTCGTTGCTCTCTCAGACTCCTGCTCAGATTTGAGGACGCGAATAGTGTCCTCCAACGCTGCCGCTCTTGCCAAAGACGACACCCGAGGTCTCTTGGCATTTTCTAGCTCGGCCACTTTTCTCTCCGGCTCAGCTAGCTTTCCCATCCATTCTGCACTCAAAGCTTCAACTCTGGCAGCACTCTGATCGAGCTCGGCTTGCAACGAAGCACCTTCCCCTGAAGATGCTTGCATTCTGCGGCGACCCCCTTTCCCAACTCGAGCTCTTCGTCCTTGGCACGGAGCAGCTCCTCGAGCTCACTACATCTGCGAATGGACTGCATCAGCTCCTGATCCCTTTTCTCTAACTCCTCCCAGGGGGATTGGGTGCCAGTACCCGCCCTGAGCCGCTCATGCATCTCGTGGCATTTGTTGCATTATCGCCTATAATTTTCAAGCATCGTCAGAATAATCATGGCCCGAGTCTCGGTCCTGCGAGCACTCTCGATCTCCAGCATGTAAGATTGAAAGCAAAGAAAAGAGTCGATAAAGGCCAAGTCTACGCAAGAAAAAGAGGGGAAAAACAAACGAGGAAGAGAAACTTACTCTTAGACCCATCGCGGCCATGCCACGTGACAATTCAGCGTCGCTGACGTCCTGAAAAGCTCCGCTTTCTGCGGTAGAGCATAGAAGGTCGAACTACAACACGAAATCCACCGTGTCTTGCAGAAGATTGAGGTCCGACAAAATTTTGAGTATTCGGGAAGGACCTCCCACTCTTACCACATTTCGGGTAAAGACCTCCTCGAACATCCTAACATCGTCAGGATCGAGGTCAGATTCCGATTCGTAATCATCAACCGCGATGCCTTTTCCCCTCTCTTCGGCCGAAGAAGAAGTACGATTCGGCCGGGATGATGAAGGGCCGCCCAAGATAGCAACGACAGCCTCAGGACTCCGTCTTTTCTCCACGTCGATCTTTTGACCGCTCACAACAGGTGTCGCCTCTGCGACCGAGTTAGCACCACCGTCAATCTCAGGCGCCAACAAGGAAATGTCGCTCCTCAAAGATGTTTCGGCTCGAGGAGTCACTTCCAATGCCACTTATCGTCTCTTCGATGGGGCCTCTCCACTACCAGCACAGGAGGACTCGCCCGTTGAGTGGACGGTAGAAACTGGAGTCTCAGGTTGAGGAATAGCACCCGCACACATTGCTCCAACCGCAGGTGAAGATTGGGTAGTGGCTCTCGATGTAGGCCGGATAGCAGCCCTTGGCGCAGGCCGGGCAAGGGGTGCTGGTTGACAGAATGCGAGCGCAGGAGCCCTCGTCCTTCACGTTCTCCCTGCCAACAAAAAAAACGGTCACATAACGACAAGATCGAACCGTAAGGCAAAGAAAGTGGGCCGATTCACCAGCGAGAGGCTTACGCCCATATTTCTCGTGGAAGGACGTCCACTCACGAATGCCCCTTGTATGGGGAAGAATTGCGTTCACCCACTCACGGATATCGTCAACTGGTGGGGGAGGTAATCTCTCGGCTGCAAAAGTAAAAACAAGTCAGCAATATCACCTAAGGAAGAACGATCGACGACCGCCTTGAGAGGAATTGCAAAATAGACAAAGGAAACCTTACGAGCGAAGTTCCACGTCTCAGAAAACCCTGCCGAGTCCGCCACAAGGTGCTCTGTCCGCACATAAAAATAGCTTTCCTATAAGCGGCGATTAGCCTTATCATCCATCTTTACCCCCAAACTCTTGGTTCCTCGATGGCGCATGTGGATCATCGTGCCCCGAAGAAATTGAGGGGCAAAAATGTGAAGCATGTGCCCCAAAGTAATCCCTCGACCAGCGAGCTCCGCATATTTGATGAGCATGAGGAAGAGCTTGTATGCGTACGGTGAGAGCTGAGACGGGCACACTTCGTAGAAGCCGCAGAAGTCCACCACTAGAGAGGGGAGAGGAAGCGTATCTCTGACAACAAAATGATACGCGTAAAATGCGTAGTACCCCGGGCGGTTCAAATGTACAATGTCCGTCCCCGTCACCGGTACCATGTCGATATGTTTTGGAATTCTCCACTTAGCCTTGAGCGCCATAATCGTCGCTTCATCCATGGTGGAGGGGATAGGTTCCGGTTCGTCTCCAGGAGGGCTGTTAAAGTCAGTCCATAATTTCCCCGGACGGGGTAGTATCTTAGCCACAGTCGGAAACCCCTCATCTTCCGTCACCTCTATTCCCTTTCAAAGAAGGGGTATATCATTTTTCGGCATCGGAGCTTCGACGAGTCTGTCAGTCTGGGAAGAAACACCAGCCATTTATCTAGCTCAATCGGAATAAACGAGAGTGATGAAGAATTAGAGGGGGTGTTCACGTTAAATTCTGACGAAAGCAGAAGTGTGAAATATTGAAGAGGGTGGAAGTTTGCAAAATTTCTCAGGTAAATCGAAAAGTGTAACAATCGAATGGTGGGTTCCCCCTATATATAGGAACACAAATGCCCTGAGGGGGAAACCTGAGAGCCGCCAAAAAGCTGAAAGGGCACAAGGAACGATGCGGTGCTTGGGAAACGTGCGTCATAATGACGCATAACGGGCATTCATGGTATCCTGAACCGACGTGACGATCCATCTCCAAACGGACGTAACGGTCCGGGAATGCCCCTAAAACATCGTATCGCCACCTCGCCATAAGGACCCCGTCCTCGCATAATGATCAGATTTCTCCTAATTCTTGAACACACAGGGTCCACCCATTGAGCTCGCCCAAAAGACGACCCCAACAGGCGGAGGGACTAATTGTATGGGTCAAAATCTGACCACCAGATGGTTATCATTAAAGGAGATGGCAAGAGGTCGACCCCGCCATGGCCATGCCCACGAGGCGTAACGGCAACGAGTACCACGGTCCCTACCAGGATCAAGCCGTAAGAAAGCTTACATCGCAAAACAAGTGTAATGTCTTGGGCAAGTAATGAAGGACTCAGTTATGAGAAAGCACACTAGTCAAAGACCGTTGGATAAAATGGAAAATTGTTAGTATAGATAGAGAGGCAAGAGACCATCACATGGAGGACCAGATCTGACTATTACATTTAGGGCCATCATTGCGGAACCAAGAGAGGGAAAACTCTCAACTATCAACAACATTCTCTCTTCTCCTTCGGTGCTCTTTCGATTAGGATGTAAACCTACTCTAGATGTAAGCTTATCATTTTCACTCGATATACGATAATGATCTTGAGAAATATTAAATCAGTTTGTTCTTCTCCAATTTTTGTACTCAATATGCTTTGATCTAAAGATAATTATGTTTGGCTAAGATTTACCTTCTATCTCTCTATTAATTGGCTTGACTAAAGGGTTTAACGATTTTTTGGTTAAACAGGTAGTACTTTACGGGACAAGTGTTAGTGTGTCACTTGTGTTTGCCTCTTCTTGAGTTTGTTCTCTCGATATTTTGCACTCTCTTTTATATAGTGTATTGTTCATCTCCATCTCTGGACATAGGTCAACTGGCCGAACCACGTTAAATGTTTGTGTCTCTTTTGGTATATTTGTCTTTTATTTTCTGATTTATCGTTGTTCAAGATTTGTTTTGCTAGTTTTCGCATGATACGTGGTTATTTTGATCCTAAAGAAAGGAGCGATGACTTTTAACCTTATGTTTCTCATTCCAAACTGTCAATATAAAAATTTATTTGTGCCTGGTGTTCTCTTCAAACACTATAAGCTATGACATATAGTTCAACTAGCATCTCTTTGCTGAACTTCTTCCTATTCTAAAACTAAAATTGTGAGAAGGGACAGAGCTGGTAAATAAAGAAAAATGAACAGAATTTATATATCTGACATTAATTTGCCTAGACTGGAGTGCAATTATTATTAAATTTATTTGAGACTGAGGCATAATTATTGATAGAGTTATAATAAATCTTCCCATATCAACATAATCAAATGAGAAAGAAGAGAAATATGCCATAACCAAAAAAGAAAGAAGAAAAATACGCCATAACCTTTAAGAAATTGTAAGGTGGAGAGATTGCCCTTTACAAGACATTGCACCTAATACAACTTGGAGTTTCCTTTTATTATAGTACTAGCATTTTTCCTTACAAACAAATAGTGTAGACAATTGGTACATTACATATACTCAGCATAATTAGTGCTTAGCTCTTTTATAGTACAAAAGGTAGATATTTTTCTTCTATGCACACAATTTTGTAATGCTATTACTATAAAGTTGGGCAGTAAAAGCTCACAACTGCCTCTCCCCAAAACGTCAATAACCACCCAAAAAAAAAAGTAGGCCAAATCAATTTCTTTTCTTCCACAATTGAATGGCCAAGCAAAAAGTGCCAAATTGCGCTTTTCTCAGATTTTTTACTTTCTTAAATTTATGGTGAGTAAAAGCCCTCAAACTAATAATATTTAAATTAAATATAGTAAGCACTATACTTTAAAATTAAATTATATTAACGGAACTGGCCTCCAGTAAAAGTCTGGCCAAAGGACCAGGAATGAGGAGCGGCATTATAAGAAACAACAGTGCGACCATTACTTGTGGTGACTTTGAAGGATAAGCTTTGGCCATTGAGGTAAGCGTTATTTTGCCAATTTTGGCCCCAATTTCTTGACATTGGTTGCCACTGAGTTCTTGATCCCTTGATATACAATGATCGTACATCTCCTGCACCCCCAACATTGGTCACAAGAACCAAGTTGAAGTAAGAGTGCCCATTGATTGTAAATCTAATTCCTCCCCTTCTTCTACAAGGTACCCTGTAAATCATATACACATTCAAGAAAATTCAGTTTAGTTCCTCCCGGTAAAAGATGTATGTTCAAGAAATTAAAGTTTAGTTATTCCCTCTAACTTAATTTATGTTATGCACTTATTCTTTAATTTGACCTAAAAAGAATAATAAGTACATTTTTATACTTAAAAATATTTAGCTTTAAACTTATCATTTTACCTGTAATGAGATGACTTGCAGCCACACAAATATCTATGATTTATTTTAGACCATAAATTTTAAAAAATTTGTTTTTTTGTCTTAAATTTCATGCACATGTGCATCACATAAAATGGGACGAAGATGAAATTGTTTCCCCCAATATAACAGCAAGGGAAAGGGTAAAAATACCGTCTTTCTATTTTACCAGATACCCCTCGGATCTATAATAAAGAACTATTTTACCTTTGGCACAACCTTTAATAAAATACAAACTCCTAGAAAACAAATACGTAAGTATTTTGACTAAATTACCATTAATTAAATTTTTCATATTGTTAACTTGACACATTGGATATATAAATAGCGGCAAATTTGGAAAACAATAGTTAATTCATTATTGATAATGTAAAAAGGACATTGAACCAAATTAAATCTTAATTTTTATGCACCCAAGGGAATATCTTAATTTTATCTTTCATTACACTTTGACGACGTCATATGGTTGTCATTAGAAAATTATGATAGTAATTCGTATGGTGAAAAGGGTAAATTTGGACTTTTTCCCGATCAACAATGGCACTTTCCGGTCTATTGAGTATACATAGTACTATTGAATTACCTTCGGTAGGCAACAGGAACAATGCCAGATCTATATTGAGCAATGCGCAAGTAGACAGGCTGAGAGAGATCAAAATGGTGATTTGGAGGGTCACACCAACCACCTGGTGGGCAGAAATTTGTTGCTGTGACAGTAATGGTGCCAGGCAAGCAGTACTGTCGAGCATTCACACACCTTAGCTGAAAACATGCTCCACAACTCAAACCATTGTTGAACAACACCGTGCTCAACGCAGCAGTATTCGTCCCATACCCCGAGCTGTATAGATTTCCATATCCACAAGCCCCACCTGTGAAAATTCCAGAGCATTATAGAAATATACCGACTATATGATACTAAGGATAAAAAAACTAAGCTTAAATCTGATAGTGTAAAAATTCTTCTATTATCATACCCATAGTTCCAGATGCATCGCCTCCACCGTAAAAAGTTGCGTGTGCATTGATCCAACCACCATAATAACCATGAACAGATTGAAACATGAGGGAAATTCCCATAAACAGAAGTATTAAAATTGCCATTTTTTAACCTGCAGAGGAGAGAATGAAAGTTTAGTGCTATTAAAATTAGTGATGTATTAGTACTTAATTACATGCTAGAAAAGTTAGAGAGAAATAAAACAAGAAGATTGAAAAATGACTCACGAAAATGTGTTTGCTTGACTGAAAAGAAAAGTGAGGTAATGAAGGGAAGATATCTGCACTCGTGGAGAATAAATAGAGGGACTAAATGGGTGGTTTGTGACATAAAATCAAAGGTCCAATATTAAATTAATCTGACCAACTGCCAAGTTTCTTACTGTAGTGTGGGACCATAAAATTGTAAATACTGACCAGTACTATTTTAATGCTATATATATGGTAATTAAAATTGAAAATAGAAGTTTTGTTTTCTCTGGAAAGGAAAGCCGCGTGGTATAGAAGTAGTCCATTCAGGAATGAGGTCGACAGTAGACTAGTACAATTGAGATTTGCTATGGTAATTGCTCTCTATAGAGTAGGGCTACGTAGTTTAAAAGAAGATGGAAAACAACTGGGAACCATCAAAATCCGATCCATCTCTTATCAGTTTCGTTAATCCTGTTTTAATATGTAATTACCAGATTTTTGCATTTAATTGTGTAACTTATCAGGAGTAGTAAAGTTGGTGAAAATCATGAGATACTGAGGTCAAATTCCAATATTGGACTAAAATTATTTTCGGTCCACTTTATTTGATTTTTTGATCATTTTTCATAATATTTGATTTTTTTTTTAGATATTAAGAAGGAATTAACTTATTTTCTTTTTCAATGTTGCCCTTGGAGTAAAGGGCTTAGGAATATTATTAATATGGTCGGATTCCTTAATATGTGTGAAAATAACCAAAAAAATCAATTAGAGTGAACGGAAGGAAGTAGATAATTTCATTTTATCTAATTAAGTATTGATGGAGAGTGATAGCCCTTATTTGTGCTGCTGAAAGCTGATAGCAGGTATCCGATAAAATAGTTAAGTATACCGAAATTGACCTAAACACGACGACAAAAAGGAGATCTTACTGGATTGTTAAGAGCTTGAGTTGTCGATTCAATGTAATAAAAACTTAATATAGGATACCATTTTTAAGAAAAGAGAGCAACCATGTCTTAAAGATAGCAAGATTATTCCTCATTTCCTTTTGATTTATTTTCACATGATATATTCTTTTGGTACAATTAATACGCAGGACACACGTAACTGCAATCCTTACCTTCCGCTAATGCCGGAGCAAGATAACTTTTTATTATCTCCAGAATGTTAAGGGGAATAAAGAATATAATCTAATTATCTAACAACACAAGTCAATTCGCGCAAAATTTTCTGAATTTCCAATCTTTAAATAGAAAATTGCACCTAACAAAATAATAAATAATTGGAAAAAGTACTTAAAGTCTAAAGTAATTGGAGTTATATTTTTCTGTGAGGTGGTTGGGTTAAGTAAATAGTGTTGACCAAGAAAATATAAACAAAACAGAGTAGACTAGCATAAGAATCATACATGAGAACCCAGCATATCTAAACTAGGAGATTTTGAGGTCTTATCCATCATTTTCCTAGAAAGTCTTCCACTGATTACGGATTTGCTAGAAAATGAAAATCTTTTTATCCAGGCAAATGAGAAACCTAAGACAAGATAGGGTTCATTTATATATTTATTTATTTATTTTAAAAATAGCGGAGATTTTGATGTAATAAAGTGAGTCCACATCTATCAAAGTCTCAAACAGCCAGAAAAGAAACTTTGACATTGAGGTTTTCACTTTTCCACATTTACACTGGGCAACCAGCTCAGACTATATTGTTGTACATCACTGCTCTAAATATTTGTAAGTGAAAATTTATTACTTCACATTTAATATAGTCATATGGTCATACAAATTTAGCTAAAAGAGATGTTATTAATGACAGATAAATTCAAAATTTGAGCCACATCATCTACTAGAAATTTGGGGCACATTATCTAATAGAAATTTGTGGCAACACTGCATCCACAATGTTGACCTAAGTCTAGCGTGCACACAGCGAATTCAGAATCAGGAGTTAGATGGTTAAAAACGAGTAAACCAAACATTTTTATTTTATGTATTTCTTATGCATGCATTTATTTGAGCCAAAAGTAATTGGTTCAGTTGAACTCGCTAAGACCACCTCAAGGTTTGATGCCCTGTGATATATACATACTTTCTGATCAAGTCGTTGCTCTGGTGATGAAAGGAAGTAACAAAAGCAGGGGCACATGGCCCTTAAAGTTACAGGGTTCAACTGAACTCAATATTTTCGATGCGTTTTATTGAACTAGAGAAACGTACGATGTCCGACGTTTTATTGTTTTGTTTGGTGTTTTCCTTCTTCTTGTTCTGTTCTGGAACTGTCCGATGTTAACACATCTATGAAGCTGTTTTTACTTACTACTAGTAGGAAATCACTTTTTTTTTAATTTCTGACAGTTTAAAAATTCCAACATCTGGCATTTTTATAATAATTATTTTTCCTGTAATTAGAGAGCATAATGATAGTAAAAGCTTTGGGCAACGTTAAACTCCCCCATACAGATAGAGCCTAAAGGGATTCCAAATTTAATTATTGTGTTAATGATTAATTACCAGTTTTACTGCAAACAGACGTCCAGCAATACATGTTGATCTTCGCTAATTAACATAAGTAGCTGAACAAAAGATAATGCTGAATTCCTAATCATAAGAGTATTAGTGGATTAGTTCAAGGCGAAAGTAATGGCACATGATTGTGCCTTTTTCATGTGCAAACTGGGGTTTTAAAAGAAAGTGACATAAAGTCATTCATCACATGATCAATATTCACCACTAATCCTTAGTTTCTTTAATAATAATAATGACAATACTAGTACCAATAGTCGAGAATTTAGGACTGTTTTATCCTTCACAACTGTCTTGCTCACTAAATATTTAAAGAAAAACGTGATTTCAGGAAGTTAGAATGTCATATCATCCCTCCACTTCTTTACTACAAGTGGCTCTTAATTCCCTATCGTACTTGAGAAATTTCCTGTACATGTTTTGACATAGTTTTGAGGCTCCACTTTCAGAGTGTAATCCATTATATATTTTAATTAATGGTGCCATTAATATCACGCTGTATTCCAAATTTAACTAGTACGTACGATTTATGATCAAACTTCGTACGCAATGCTTGAACTTCACCGGTATTAGCAACCCGAAAAAGCATCTTTTTCTCTCACATCCTAAGACCGACATTTTCTTTACCAAGAAAAAAGGAAAGAAGAGGAGAATAAAAAACAAAAAGAAAATAAATGATTTCTGAAGAGACCAAAAAGAATTGGTCGAAATTTATCTCTCATAGAATATCTTAATTATCCGGTTACATACATACATTAGCTTTTTCTATTCTTTTATTACCTGATTTATGTGTCGGGCTTCATTCACCTTGTGGATGAGAATTAATAATTGGCTCTACCTATTTATTACTCGTGTCGTTAACAAGATTGGGTGGACTCGATATGTCAAAATACTTCGGGGGAAAAGTTCAAATTTGCCGTTCTTCTTTTGAGTTTTGACTATGGTTAAAATTACTCTCCATTATGCTTTAAAGTTGGAGCTCTTTTGACGCTAACTCCAAATATTAGACGATTTGCTAATGGTAAGAGTATGAATTACCCTAAAGTATAATAAAAGGTAAAACCAAGATATTTGTACTGTAGGGAGACGTATTTTTTACTCTTCTCACAAACAAAAATAGAAAGAAAATGTCGGCTGATAGAGTGATGGAGTAAAAGTAATGGTCATGTAACCGCATAGAGCTGCTAGTGTATAGGCATGTATTATCCTCATAGATATGCATAGGCGAATTTCAGGATTTAAGCTCTATATATGAATTCAAACCTTTAAGGTTCTTAGCATGAACCCATCATATTTTATAATTTATTGGATAATATCTACTATTTGTTGTAGTTTTGATGAATTTTACGATACATAAACTTATGTATCGCATCGAAAGGACTGGGTTCAGAAAAACAAGTTCGGTAACGTAAAGTTGCATCCGCCCGGCAGATATGAGCCTATGAAATACGGAGAGTTAGGGTCCAGAATACTAAATGAAGTTGAGGCAACAACCAGCATGTAGAAACAGTAGGTGAACCAACGACATGTATAAGTTAGTTGCAGAGTTATATCACAAGTTGTACAGGCAAATTTTGTTTTGTTAAAAGAGCAAGTCCTTTCTGGTGGTGTGGGCAGTGGCTGACAAAAGGGTGGTCCATTACACTATTAAAATGGACAACTACCTAAAGCGACACACTCCCACATAGTTACATACGCACATGAGGAGTTATGAGTCTTATGACAATTGATAGGTAGAAAATCTCAATATAGATTCACATGTCCAGCCCCTGGGAACTAAGAATTAATTAAGAACCTACGGATATGATCTTAGCAAACACTATGTAACTACGATATATAAGCACAAATCTAATGGCTACATGCACTGGGCTGTAGTTTTATGTCAGTTGAAGCGAGCATTTAAAGGTATATGTACCATAAACTTACACTTACATCTCCGATTTTCCAGGGCGGATTCATAATTTAAACTTTATGATTTTAACTTTTGCACCGAACATATTATACTTATGTGTGTGTATGACATGTCGAAATTACTGGATTAACCGAGTAAATATAAGCCGCATTCACCTCTGCCCTTCTCCTTAAGGTTAAATAAGGTAACGTTGGTATTAGATGTTTTATTAACGCTCGAAGGAGGAAGGAAGAAATGAAGCAGTAGTTTATTATTATTATTTTGAAAAAGGAATGAGCTGGAGTAAGTTTGTAATTATTGACTTTCTTTCCAGGGGATTTTGTGTGATATTCGCTAAATTATCCGAAATGAGGATGTAAAACAACAAAATGGCGAAGCAAAAATAAGACGTGAGAATTTAGAATTTGTTCATTTCTGGGCAACAAGCATCCAGCTATTATACCACTAGGAGGTGTCCACTTCCGATGCAATATGTCCCGTTTGACATGATGGCCGCGCCATCCAACTTCCAAGAAATAAACGACTCACTTCCCATTTTCTTATTGGGTTAATATTTTCAACTTTAAGAATTCACGAATTACTCCATAATATAATCTTTATTAATCGGCCAAGTTACCTCTCCAGGTTTTGTTGTCAAGCCGATTAATATAAGATTATATGAAAGGATCAAATAACACGTTGAAAAACCAACACAAATAGTGTAAAACTCACCACTCTTTTTCCATGTGTTATTTCATCGCTAGAAAACCTAACACAAAATCACAAATAATGTCTAGTTTTGTAGAACTAGAACATCAGATTATGGAGTATTGCAATGAAACAGGTTCAAATGAAGCAAAATGTACATCTACAATTCAGCAACATGAGACATTGTTGTTGTTATTTAATACAATACTCAATTTCTCCAGTAGCCGTTGCATACACTTAATTTCTTGTATTGAATAGAAAAGTGACACTGTTAGTGTTAAGCCTTCCAAAATGCACTTCATCGACGATCCATAGGTGGTGAATAGGAGTAAGCCGTACTGTTTCATTCCGTATGCTGATCGTGCTAAAGCACTCGCACACAAATTCACACTTTGCCTCTTTTGGGGCGAGGTAATTTTACAATAGCACTTCTTGAGGTACTTAACAAAATGTCACCCTCTATTCTGAGAATGATATGGGAAGTCAAACATTTATTGTTGTCAGACATTTTCAAATATATTAAAACCTTTGATGTATGAAATTCATAATTTATAGTGCTTTTATGAAGTTATCAAATGCGTAGATTTTAATTCAAAAAAAAAAATCATCAAATCCACACCCTAAAATTAGATTTGTAACAAGAGGGATGCTCAAGTGGTAAGCACCCTTCACCTCCAACACTAAGGCTGGGGTTTCAAATTACCAACAAAACTCAAAAATAAGACAGAAGATTAAACATGTATCAAAATGGAATCGTAACCACATTCACCTTGAAATTTTCTAAGAAACAAGCACGCAGTAAAATAATAATGCCAACACTAAACAAAGCAAAGAGATTAAAGGCCAGCTAACGAGCTTCATAGCAAAAAGCTGGCTGATGGAAGGAATTAACATGTCAGGGAATATTTTTCTACAAACATCACCAATTAGGTAGTTATACAAAGATACGTGCAATAAAAAGTAAAATCTTCGTATGATCCTGAACAATGAGGGATATAAGCCGTTGAATCACCTTAAATACTTCATTGACCCATTACCATTGCAGAATTTCTAAAGACGATTAAATGCTTACAACATAACAGGAACAACAATAATAATATGCCAATAAGAAAAACCACCATTACTATTAAGAAAGACAGCTCATAATGTGATCACAGATGATTCTTCCACTCGCAGACCAAACAGTTAGTTCGATTCATCAAGAAAGCCAAAACTTAAATTTAGCAGTGAACTTCGAGAGAAAGAAAATGGGATTGTATACAGCTGACATCACCTCCATCAGTGAATAAGAATCTTGGTCTTCTGAATCAATAGCAGCTCGATGTTCCCACGAGCGCTATTAACCGTGATAAGGTGCATGACCAGGAGGTGGAACACCTCCAGGCGGCATGGTTGATGGATGAGGAGGCTGACTTACACTATAAGATCGACCACTACTAACAATGTGATTGGTCTGCTGTGACGATCCAGGAGGATTTACTGCTGTTGCATAAGCAGAAACTGGTGAAGCATATGATTGCCCAGGAAATCTGTTAGGAGCAGACGGAAAGGTTGATCCGCCACCCTGCAAATTTGGATTCCATGAGGACATTTGGGATGTAGATGCTTGGCCAGGAACAGCACCAGCAGCGGCATAGCCAAATGACTGTGGACCAGACTGAGGGTTATGCCAAACTGGTGGTGTGGCATGGACCGCTGATACTTGTTGCATTGCAAGCAAACTTGATTCTGGAACTGTGTAATCTCTACTTTTGTCACTGTATGCCTGCTTCGACAGGATTGAAAAATTAATTCGAGCTGAGGTATGACAGAAAGATGCAAAAAGGACCAAGTGTGAAGAAGCATACTTTCAGAGTTTCAGTAACCGAATCTTAAAATTTGGTGCCGAATCTTTATTTATTTAGTAATCATTTTTTCCCTTTGAAACCAACTCAAAAGCACATATGTATACCTGTATATTCAGATCAGTATGACGAGAGTATGATAGATGAAGCTTACAATAGCCACCATCATATATGCAGTGTCCCTCTAAAGCGTCCTTTGCAGCAGCTGCAGTTGTTACATCTGCATTAAAAATGATACATCAACACTTATATTCCAATAGGTTAAAACTTGACAGAAAAGGACAACATGGGACAAAAAGGAAAAGAAGATGGCAGGGTGTGTGATTGGAGATTACAACCAGGCTACCATGATTATACGCCCATCTGTTAACGCCCTAGTGTAATAGAATTGATGTTTGGGGTGACATTAAATTCTCTAGTGGATCGCATTACTCCTTTTTTTAATAAGTATGGTATTCGAGCACTTGCGATCGTCTCGACTTTTTCACCGGGTACCTACTATCACCAGTAAGTATCGGGTGACTCTGTTCACAAAAATGGTTGTGATGCATGATAGATAGTGTTTTCAGTCTCACTTATACTAGTCAGCAAAGTTAGTCTTCCAATCTTTCTTCATCCTGCATGGATGTACATGTAATCTATATGGAAATGTTAACAGAATCCTTTTCTGAAACTAGCAAATGGTTCTAAGTGTAACCACACATTTCCCAAGACCAAATCAATAGCCACAATCGCCAAAGGGGGTGGGGGAAAGAAGAGATTAAGAAAATAAAGAAGCCACCACAAAACTTCAAAGGCTAGACAAAGTAAACACAGGTCATAAAATACTAAAGAATAGCAACATAAGTCCATACATACCAGGATACTGAATTAATGCCTGGGTTTGACCATTCTTCTCAAATATAGCAATCTTTTGGACAGTGCCAAATGCAGAGAATACCTATTTTGGGGAAGAAAAGTAACAGCAGAATATAAATGAATAACACAATTTTTTTGAGGAAGGTAAATGAATAACACAAGTACCATTATGGACATCAATGAAATAACAAAAGAGAAAAGAATACCGTGTGAAGGACATCAATAGTAACAGCATACTGCATATTTTCTAGAGAGGCAAAAAGCACATTACTCTCGGGTTCCTTTTTCTTTCCATCTGGACCTACAACAGGCTGAATACAGACCTTGTGAGGACTTCTCCAATACAAGGATGACAACAAAAAAGATGAGCAACGAAACATACCTGAAGAAGCCCCTCCATTGCAGTAGGATTTACTGGGAGATAAGGGTTTGTATAGTCCCTATACGATGAAATACGGAACTAAATGTGAATCAAGCTGATATAAGCATTAACGAAAATCAGATCAACTTATACAGCTCTGTAACAACAAAAACTCCGAGATATTTCCCAGAAGAAGTTGTAAGTTTAGAAGCATTAGATACCTCAAAAGCAACGGCAAGTGCAAAAACACTGCTGTTAACCAAAGACCATATTTAAGGAGTTACCACACCTATACCACAAAATTACTGCATAAACAAGAACCTCCCCCACACCACCATCCTAAAAAACTCATTTCATATTCTAACTGCTGACTATTGAGATGAAAAACTCAAAATCGTCCAATCAATCAACTATGCATCAATTTTAAACTAGTTCATGAATCATCTATCCGCTTCAATGGACCTACTTCATTCAAATACGCCACAATACTCCTTCCATACCTTCTTATATGATGATGTTTGACTTGGAATGGAGTTTACAATGTCAAATAGACACATATATTATATTAGTGATAGTTTGACAGATATAATATCACATCAAAGTTTAATATTCAAATTAGCAATACAATTAGTTGGTATTGAAGCTTAGTTGTTATTACATGTACATCCGGTCTGGTGATCCTTTTAAACTTAAAAGAAAAAGAATACAAGAAAAAAAATACAAGCAGAGATTTAGTGCAGCCCGAAAACTAGCAACAGAGAACCAAATAAACTAACAGGTCATTGTTCCCGGAATGAAATGTCAGCTTACAATCAGTACAGCCTAAAATATCAGAATCCAATGCTAAAGCAAGTATTGCAGTTGAATTTTCAAGGACAGATTGTAACGTCTTGCAGCTAAAGCAATGTCCCTTTGTACAACATAACCCACAAAATACCATAGCTAACAATTTTAGCCTCACAGCCCTACATGGAAATATCCAAGATCGGAGAGCTAAATAAATCTAACAAATAGAAAACTTGGGTTAGATACTATGAGTCACCAAGGACACACATAAACATACTCTCCAGACATTCTTATAAAGAAAAATATATACATCTAACTAATGTCCCAGGTTTTTCTGCTAACTAGACACCCATGACAAGTGACTTCAGATACAAATAAAAACCAACATTCAGCCATTCATCCAATAAAATATAAAGGGAAAATGAGAGGATCGGGACAAATAAAAATGAAACAAGACTTCAACAAAAATACAATTGAAACAAGATAAAATCTTATATCAACTTGACTTCCACATATACGCATTAAGGACTAACAGACAACTCAGCAATAATGTCAACGAANNAGTAGGCAAAGAATAATGACGAGACACAAATAAGCAATAACAATAAGAATTATAAAAGTAACAGTACACAAAACTACTAAAAAAAATAGTTGACAGGTAAAGTACTGTACTACCTGCTCCGATGAGATTGAATTTAGATATAGGTACCGTGTGTGCAGAGTATGAGATGCGCAAGTGACAATGATTAACATGTTCTGGAAGCAGGTACCTATGATAAAAATGAAGGATTAACTTGATCAGGCATAAAGTGAGAGGCAGGTTGAATAGATCCAAGTATTTTTCAATCAACTAACTACACATACTTTGGTATACTTCTCCCATCCAGTGCCTCTCTAGCAGCAGATGCTGTCCCAACATCACTAAATTGAATCAATGCCTGTCAAGGTGTAATAGAAACCCATTAATACTTTACCAATCCATCCGCCCAAAATTAGAAAAAGCAAACTCCTTGGTGCACAGATATACCGACCTGAAAACCTGCTGCCTTTTCAAAAGTAGCAATCTTTTGCACAAAACCAAAGGCTGAAAACACCTGAGACGGGTTTCGGCCCATTAAAAGTAAATCAGTCTAGAAAAGTAATAGAAAAATATCAACCAGTAATATGTTTCCCAAAACACACTGAAGAAGAAACACAAAGGAACTAGATTCTGAGTGCAGAGTAACACCTGTATATGCAAGCCATAGAAAGGTTTATGACCGATATGATTACATATCCAGAATCTCCAACAAAAGATCTTAAATAATGACCATCTGTGATTCAATCAACTTTAGTTAACACTGCCATCATTTAAATATTACTATATTGGATGAAAGTTCAATAGTAAGTAATTTCTAAAATCTGAACCATAACCAGAGTTCTGGGCTAGAGAAAAGAATAAGGATTAAAGAAATTGAAAGAATGTCCCAAGAATAATCTGCAATACTAGAGAATAAGTTCTAAAGCATGAAAAGAACAGAAATACCATAAATTGCATTACCTAAGCCAACACAAAGCAACGTAACAATATGCTTCATAGAGGTCCACTAGTTGCAGTTCCTTTCTTTTTTTGGAGATATGGAAGTTCCACTAGTTAATACATAATTCTTGGGGATCATGGCATGTTCAAAATTTTATTAATGAATATTGAATGAATAATCAACTCTTCATAAGGCACAATTTTCCAACAGTCTATAAGGCTAGCTTTCTTGAAAACTTCCTTTATAAAGAGGAGAGAAAGCAACAAGATTCTTACCAAATGGATCACATCGATGCTGACATCACCAGCTTCAACACCCTCAATAGTTACCAGCAAAACATTTCCTGGAACATCTCCAGGACTCTTATTATTGACAATCTCATTCCTGTTAGAATACTGGATGTATACAGTCTTGCCACGAACTTGAGCAGGCTCTGAAGACGAGGCATAATATGAAACCATATTAATTGCCTGATTAAGGTCTGCCTGCAGTTGCAAAATGTGCATATTAGATGCTAATAACAAAAGTCATGCTAACACTGTCATTAGGGAAAGCGGATACACCAAAATTGCTTTATAAAAAGGAATCCAGGAACGTAATTAACCTATTTCAGCAGTTACTTATTCTACTATTACAATTGACAAAGTCATTATGGAAGCTCCTAATGATTCTATAATTTAAAAATTCATTATGACAGCTTCACCACATTACAAAGTTTGAGCACACCTCAACTAATCTAGTGGCCAGGGGGCAGTCCCTAATATAGAAGATTGGCTCACACCCAATGTTTAGGGTTTGAACTGAAATAGCCTAACCTCAAAAACTCAGCCATCTCCTAATCATTCTTAATGAATTAAACATGGAACGTAGCCTGCCATGAACAGCCAATGGAAACTGAGAGCGCTTTTAAACCGTGGATGTATTTAATAATCGAACTCTAATAACTCACATTTCAAAGATAAAATCTAAAAAACCTTTGGGCGAATTTACTACGATCTAGAACAGCCAATCACGATAATCGAAATGAACTCGAACAACTTACGAATTCGACAAAGGCTTGGTTGCGGTTGGCCCCGACGTTGCACTTGGTGTTGACAATTTTACCAAAGGGCTTGCAAAGCTCTACAAGCTCTTCATCGCTGCAATCCCATGGCAAATTCCGGAGGTGAAGAACTTTCGACGGCGTCTGTGTGTACCGGAACTGCTGTTGCCCGGATGATGACATCGGCCGATTTAGGGTTGCGATTCCCACCGTCGGAGTCCTTTTTACCTACTTTGAGCAACTGATTCCTTTCTTTACGACTCGAAGAAAAATAAAACTTTGTTTTTTTATTTCCCTCTGTCTGTATACGTTATTAATACTGTATATTGATTTTTAGGGATGCTTTATCTTCTTTACCTATACCGTAAAGTTTTTGGGCGTTGATCTAAAGGGTAATTACAACTTTTTCTTCTACTTTATAAAATATTTGTTTGACCAAAAAGAGTCAAGCTTTTTGTTAAATTAATTAATAATGAAATAGAGAGTGAATCTTAGTTAAACATAATAAATTCTAGATCTAATACTTAAGGACATCTGCGGTATGGACAGTGTTTGAGAATAATGAATATCGAGTATCAGTTCAATGATTGTCCATGAATGGTATAATAAGAACATGTAATAAATGTAGACAGTGGCAATAAATGTAATAAAAGGGATTTTATCACCCAAATATTATATGACTTGGAGGATTCTTCCACTTGATAGCAACGTGGAAGGATGAGAAGTGGGGATGGATAAGGAATCTTCGGAACTTGTGAACAAAGATTAAACAACGTGAGCTTGCACAAGATAGTCAGCGAACAAGACAATTTTTGTATATTCTTTATAGTCAACCTTTTACAATGTGATCTTATCAAAAAGTGAAGATCGCCTCTTTGTTCTCTATCTCTTCCTATTTATAAGGGATATCCCCAAGAAACCCTAAAAAGTACAACATAAGGAATATCTCCATTTCTAAATCTATCATACCGTTACTTCTTTACTCCATTTGCTCGCCCTTAGGATAATCCTTCTGAAGACGACTCTTCGTTATTACGCCGTGGTCGACCCCGTCCTCGACCCTGTTTATCTGCAGTTATCAAGCCACCCAAATGTAGACCAATACAGTTAGTCCCTCCGCTTGTTGAGGTCGTGATCCTGCACGTCCTCGATAAGCGGATTCGGTGTCGCGCCCCCTTTTTTCCTCCTGACGGAGAAAGTCCGGGTTTCGACATTCCATGGGGGAATCGACTCATTTTCTTTTGGGATTTGGGTATTTGAAGAGTCGTCACCT